GGAGGAGACTCTACCGCATACCTAAAAAGCAAAAATTTTTATTTACAGTATCTTATTAAGAGCAGACCAACAATCTAAGAAAACTGTCCTTTTAACAGAAAACCAAATTCTAATTTTGTACCAGTGTATTTTTTATATTAAAACTCATTTTTCAAAGAAACAGATCCATTCCAATCTTAGTTTTAACTACACATGTTCATCAGATTTTGCCCTTTTTTTCTCTCATTCTGGTATTATCGATTGTTTCCCTTTGAACAAATTATTCTTCATAAACTTTAATAAAAATACATCGTCATATCTGATGCCTTTTCTTACCCTAAATAATCCTACTCTTATGCAGAGATGTTTCCTTTATTCACATATGTTATTTAGAATTATTAACCCCCTCAGAATCATTAATTCTTTAACAGTAAACACTTGTGGACTCTTATGCTAGCACTTTGTGGATTGTCAAATGTGTAGATACATCCTATAATTTCTAGAAGTATATTCTTCACAGGAAATTTTTCAGTGTGGCACAAAACATGTTTACTAATAGACCCAAATATTTTTATTTCCTCTGTAAAAGGAAGCCATGAATGGATAAACCCATGTTCAGTGGTTAATGTCACACTATTTTCTCCTACTTGTAAATGATCTAGATATTCCGTGAATATCCACCATTTACTTTACCTTAGTATAACTTTAAAGTTTCTTGTTACAAAAAATTTTGGAAACAATTTTTTAAAAAATTTTTAATGTTTATTTTTGAGAGACAGAATAAGCGGGGGAGGGGCAGAGAGAGAGAGACACACACACAGAATCTGAAGCAGGCTCCAGGCTCTGAGCTGTCAGCACAGAGCCTGATGTGGGGCTTGAACCCACAAACTGTGAAATCATGACCTGAGCTGATGTCGGATGCTTAACTGAGCCACACAGGTGCCCTTGGAAACAATTTTTTTAAAACCGTTTTTAATGCTTATTTTTAAGAGAAAGCAGGGGAGGGGCAGGGAGAGAGGGAGTCACAGAAGCCGAAGCAGGCTCCAGGCTCTGAACTGTTAGCACAGAGCCCAACACAGGGCTCAAACCCATGAATGGTGAGATCATGACCTGAGTGAGCCACAGTCGATGTTTAACCAACTGAGCCACCCAGGCACCTACCCTAAGACCAGAATTTTTCTAACTCAAGTTTTTGAGATGAATAAAGGAGGTTTGGGAATTGGTAAAAAAAAAAAAAAAAAAAAGGGGGGGGTGGCCTTTCGTGTTCTTCTGAAGTCTCAATTTGTAAGACAAAGATAGTTGTTTATAATCCCTCAGGTTGCACCCTGAGTGTTATTAAGGGGCTGACCCACCTATCCAACTACTTTAAGTTTGCTTTTTTTTATATCTGGAAGATGATCTCTAACTAAGAGAAATCAAAAGATTCCTGTGTTCTCGATTTAGAGATACTTGTCTTTGGGGCTCTGTCTCACAGACAAGATCATGACCTGAGCCAAAATCAAGAGTACAATGCTTAACTTACTAACCCACCCAGGTGCCCCAATATTTGGCCAACTTCTGACTGATGGTGGAGTTTGGTGCTGACAACCAAGAAAGAATTCTTGAAGACATCTTTGGTGCAAAAAGGTGATTTTATTAAGGCTCAGGGACAGGACCCATGGGCAGAAAGAGCTGCACTGGCGTGTACAATGACTGGTTATATATTATGGGCTTGGGGGAGGTAAACTCAAAAGTGAAGTCTCCAAAAAGACATTCATATGCTCAAGACTCACAGATTGCTGGAGGCCTAGCTATCATTAAGCTAAGGTTGTTTTTTCCTCTAGCAAGGCATTAACATTAACAGTAGAGAGTTCCTAGCATTGCCTTTTCCTTGTAAACTGGAGACTCCTCTATCAATTTAACCATTTGGTTATTTTGTCCCTTCCTGTTTTTCGGTAGCCAGGAGTGTCCAAGGAATATCATATATATCCCGCGGGCGGGGGGGTGGGGTGGGAGGGGGGTGCCGTGGAGAGGGCTAGCTTGTACTTTGCTTTCAGCCTGCATTATGCTCCTTCATCAGTACCATGGAGTTCCATTTTAAAAGGTTCTTTCAACTACTTTGTCAAGTTTCAGTGAGCACAAATGGTAAATCTTCCTGGCAATAGTGAACACCTTGAAAGATTCACTCTTCACCAGCTTCAGCCAATTTTCCAAGGATCACACTTGGTAAGTGTTTCCATTAATTTTAGCTTCCCCTTGGCTGTTTAAGGGAATAACTGATAGCAGTTTCCAAGAGAATTCCCCAGATTTCCATCAACTCTAGCCTGGGGTGGGGCAGAGGTCCCTCCTTTGAGGGGCTAAGGAGGCATTCAGATTTGATAAAACCTTCAAGGACAATCTTCTTTCCAGTGTCACAGTTGATTGCACCAATTTGTGGTCCTGTGTTGTTGTTTTTTAATGTTTTTTATTTATTTCTGAGAGAGACAGCATGAACAGGGGAGGGTCAGAGAGAGAGGGAGATACAGGATCTGAAATGGGCTCCAGTCTCTGAGCTGGCTGTCAGCACAGAGCCCAATGTGGGGCTCGAACCCATGAACCGTGAGATCATGACCTGAAGTTGGACGCTTAATCGACTGAGCCACCCAGGCGCCCCTGTTTTGATGGACCCCCTCGGATGGGTGCAACAGGGGAGGCCCAGCTGTGGTCTTAGGTTTCTGGCCTTGGAACTGTTGCAGTTTGAAGGCCACCAACCTCAGGACCTTTGTTCATGGCCCAGTGGTCTCTTCAGAGTATAACAGGCAACTCAGGTATTCAGTACACTGAGTACTCAGGTAAAGGAAGATAAGAGGGGGTAGATGTCCCATGGTCTCAGAGTCTTACGTAACTCTTATGTCTCTTCAACTTCTCATTAGCCATTTGCACTGACTCAGTGAAGGTATTTTGGAATTTCGGAGACTCCTACGTACCAATTAAAATAGGTATCCCTTCCTGGTTGTTGATTTGGGAACCCTTACTTTCAAGGGCACTTCTAGTCAGTAGATGCGGCTTCCAGGACCACACTTCTTAGACAAGGTGTGCTGGAGGGTAAAGCACTCAGTTCTTTGAAACCTGAACATCTTATTCCTTTAAGCCTTGGGTCTCTCAGAGCTGAATTGATACCTAAGAGAGATGTACCAGAGGAATGGGATTTTGTGGTTTCCTAGATACCTTGTAGGTTGGTGGGGGAGGGGAGGGTTGTTTTGTTTTCTTTTTTTTTTTTTTTGAGGTTGCTAAGTGTGACCTAGTGTTTGTTCTGTGACCCACATATCCTTGCCACACTTGCCACTTAAAAGATGTTAGATTGGAGTGCTCAGCCCACACCTACCAACTCTGCACCTTTGGCTTCCAAGATTCTGATTAGCAATGGCTTTTAATAGTCCAACCTGTGCCTATTTCGATTGTGCCACTGGTTAGAAGAGTTCAAATGTCTTATTGCCCCACATCTCCCAGAACTTCATGCAATGGATGATACCTCCAAGTTTTAGGAGTTCCCTCACTGCTGCTGCCCTTTGCAGATTCCCACTGTAATTGTCTGGGCCCTTTCTGGGAACTATATTTTAATATATACATATTTATATTTATGATTATATAGAAATATATATTTTTAAACCCATAGTTGTTTTAGATCAAAGAGTTGCACACAAAGCCTGGAGTGACTCACTCAACGGCCTTTGGTTTTGACTAGAGCAACAGTGAACTCAAAGGGTTGAGCAGGCTTCCTGCCTCTGCATCTCACTGTCCCACAGGCCGTTAGCAGTCGGCTTCAGATTATCCTTGCTGCCAAACCCAGTTCAAAATGATTAAAGACGACAATATAGGTGATCCAAACAGACCTTATTTGACACTTGATGAAGCAGGCAATGTCCACTCCCAAGAGTCCAGAGACCTGCAACCTGGGCCAGAAGGCAAGAAACTTTGATAGGATTGAAAAATAAGGAAGGAAGGAAGAGGCTGGAGTTGGCTTGGCAGCCAGCTGGCTTAACACACGATTTCTGGCCTGGTGGAACATTGACAGGGACATGAAAGTTATTTCAGTTTGCAGATAAAGCGCCCTGGGCAGGAGCTGCTTCATCTTGGGCCTAAAAATGTATTTCAACTACGGCCCATTAGCAAAATTTAACCTATGGCCCTCTTTTCAATAGTCTGAGAGCTACAAATATTTTCTGCATTTTTTAAAAAAAATTGATGTTTTTTATTTATTTTTGAGAGAGAGAGCGCTAACGGGAGGAGGCAGAGAGAGAATCCCAAGCAGGCTCCACACAAGTCAGCACAGAGCCCAATGCAGGGCTCGAACTCACGAACTGTGAGATCGTGACCTGAGCTGAAATTGAGTTGGACGCTTACCCAACTGAGCCACCCAGGCGTCCCTTTGCATTTTTTAAGGCTAGTGAGGTGCTGGCGGTGTGTGACGGAGACCATGTTTAGCTCACAGAGTCTTAAATACTGTCTAGCCCTTGACAGAAAAAGTTTCCTGACTTGAAGCTATTTATGCCTCTTGTTCAAATAGGGGTGATTTGCACCCCTATGGAAGCAGGGGTATAAACAAACACTCTCATACACACAGCTTGCTAATACAGTGATACTTGAATGTGGTTGTAGTGAGTTCTTTTTCCACTGCAAAGGGGTTTGGAAGGGTAGGTGAGTCAAGCTACAGGGTCCTGAGTTTTAGAGCTGCCCACAGTAAGCCTGAATAGCAGTCAAAGAATCTAAATATAAAAACCTTTGGTGTTTTCTTTCCACACCATACCTAACCTGCTGAAGTGATAAGCACAGGTATGATGTCCTGCATGTAAGCAGTTGCTCAATAGAGGGCAATGAGTCACATGATGTCAGGGTTTGCTGCACTCTTTCATTTTTTTAATCTCATGGGAATCGACTCCCATAAAGTGATGAAGTTAGAATACAAACAGAATGAGAAAAATTAGTTTATTCCTGGCTTCTTCCTAATTATATATGACTCATTTGAACATATTTTATAAATAAGCAGTTTTCATCAATGTAGAGGCCACAATTTAAACGCTCATTTTTCTTGTGAATTTGGTGACTTTGTTTTGAAAGGCTTAATGATACAGCCCCAAGTTCATGCCTTGGCTACACAATTTCAGTCCAACTTTTGCTACAAGCCGCATGGGAGAATATCAAATACATATGTGTTTTCTCTGAGAAACTTTAACAGACTTCATGTCAAAGAAGAAAAGCTACCTTCCCCCTGCCCACCTCCCATAGACCCACCTTTCCAATCTTTGAAGTATATTTTTATAAAAGTTCTATAGACGGGAATACAAAATTAACCCACCTCATTCTCATGTGCCTTATTTTTCAAAAATACATAATCAGTTTCTTAATTACCAAATAGCATACAGAAATTAAACCAAGTTTTTAAAAATGTGCCACAGCTCTTTGTAAAGACAAAATGCATTTTTCTTCTCTGGTAGACATTGGCTTGCAGGTCTTCATTTAATTTGCTGGAATAAGAAGCGATTTAGTAGATCAATACATTTAATAAAAAGAAAGCCTTCTCCATTCATCCTCGGTTGTCAGACACTAGAAACTAGTAATAGAGGATTTCTTAATAAGCTTGTAATAAATTAAGACCCTAGTATATAACTTTGTGTACCTGGTAATGGCAATGGTAGTTTTAGAGTTTTTATTGTAGTATAATACATTATTCAGGGAAAATACCACCATAGTATCCTCTTTGAAGAGTTTCGCAAAGGTTTGAAATGAATAATTGGTTACTTTAGCTTCAGCGCTGCTCGAAGTTACATGCAAGCCAGCTGGATACCCAGGGTTTTTTTTACTCCACACCATTGTGTTAGTACACACTTGGATGTCATGTCTACTTCAAAGAAGAATTTCCATGCTCCAAGTTCATTTCCTTTGGTCAAGAGATTTCTGCACCACTTACCTGTAGGGCCCGTCCTTTGGTCTCAATAGGGAGAGTCAATGCAGAAATGGCACATACAACACAGACTGATGAGAAAAGACACAGGGCTCCCAGAAAGGATGCGCTCATAAGAACCTGCAGGTCACAAGGAATGACTCCATTTATTGTGGCCTAGTGTCTTCTCAGCTGATTTTTTATGTCAAAGGGGAAATCATCTCTCCACAGACATGAATGAATGTCATTTGCAGCCATTCTATAATGTGTGCCTTCCTGACACCTCTGGTGAGTTATTTATTTGGGCCCAGCTGCTGCAGGCATTTTGTGTGATTCTGTGAGCAGAGACTGACATTAGTATGTACTGGCCAGGTCAGACCTCTCTGCACCCACTCCTCAGGCATCTCCAGAGCAAACCAGTACCTAGGGAAGGTAGAGAGATCCGGTTTCCCCACACTCTCATCATACCAGTTTAGTTTGCTCAACCTCTAGTTCAGTGTATGCAGTACTCCCTCTGCCAAACGTCCACTTGTCCCCTTCGGTTCTGACAGGATGAATTAGGGAGAAAGGTTTTGGAAATGTAATCTAGTGGTCTCTGGAAAGATAACAGGTCTTATGTATGTTCATGACGCTTCACGTGTGACAATGAAAACTTTGGTGTTCAGTTTTCCACATTCAGAATGGATTTCTACTAATTTATATACAGCCTTTGGCCAAGATCATGCTGTGTTAGTAGCTAGTTCAGACACTGCCATCTCCTACATCCATTAACCCAGGGCTGCCTGAAGGTGCAAAACCTAACTGCTCTCCTAGCCAGGATCAGAGGCAACTGCATCTTGGAGATTGGTTTGTTTTGTTTTGGCTTCCCTACAGATATACCAGGCTGGGCTTCCTAGCAGGGTTCTAGCCATCTAGTAGGTGTGACTGGATAGTCTCCCAATAACTTCTTTTCTGCCTAAATTCAATGTCTCTTGTTTGTAACCAAGAACCCTAATGCCTGATTATAAAAATCATCTGAGAACTGTGTTACAGTGTGGATTTCCAGGCCCCTCTTTGATGTACTCCATCAAAAAGAAAGATGTGTTCATCTCTACTTCTAAAATCCAGTCTAGACCAAGGACACAAAGAGGGACATTACGCAGTTAAAAAAAGGTCTAGTCAATAAGATACAGCAATTCGGGGCGCCTGGGTGGCTTAGTCGGTTAGGCGTCTGACTTTCGCTTAGATCATGATCTCGCGGTTCGTGGGTTTGAGCCCCGCATCGGGCTCTGTGCTGACTGCCGGCTCAGAGCCTGGAGCCTGCTTCAGTCTGTGACTCCCTCTCTCTCTGACCCTCCCCTGCTCACGCTGTCTCTCTCTCTCTTCTAGAAATAAAACATTTTAAAAAATTAAAAAAGATACAGCAATTCTAAAAGTTTGTATACCAAAAAAAATTCAAAAATATATTGAGTAAAAACTGAAAGTAGATCTAGATAGATCCACATAGAGTTGGAAACTTCAAGACTGCCCTCTCCCAACTATTGGTAGAACTAGTAGACAGAAAAAGGGGGATATAGAAGACCTTTATGACCCCATCAACCAACAGGGTCTAATTGACATTTACAGGACAGCTTACCCAACAGCAGCAGAATACACATTCTTTTCTACTGCCCCTGGAACATTCACCAGCATAGACCATGTTCTGGGGCATAAAGTGAACCTAAAAGATTTAAAATCCTAGAAAATGTTCTGACTAAACGGGTATCAAACTAGAAATAACAGAAAAATAACAGCAAAATCTCCACTTCTAAATCCATGGGTCAAATCTCAAAAACAACACAGAATATTAAATGTGTAATGGACAAAAATAAAATACTTAGGAGTAAATAAGAAATGTGCAAGGTGTATATGAAGAAAATTTACAGATTATATAAAATTGAGTAAATCTAGTAAAACTGTGGAAGTATACTTTTAAAAGTAATCTGTAAATCTAATGGATTTTCAATCCAAATCCCAGTAGGATTTTTTTAGTCAACTTAGGGGAAAAAATCTGACTCTAAGGTTTATTTGAAAGAATTAACATGTAAGAAAAATCAGGAAATTTCCAAGAACAAATACAAGTGAGAGAGTCTGAGGGAAGTTATTGGCCTAAGTGGCAATGACGTTCTAATCATGAGCAGTGTGATACTGGTGCCAAAATAGAACCCGGTGTGGAAGTGGGGTTTCCAACAATGGCGTCTTGGCATATCAGCCGAGAATAGCCAGCCAAAAGGATGATTAGTGGCCTGAGAACAACCAGCGAGGCAGTGTTTTGTTGCTTTTTAAAGCTGAATTCTTACCTCAGACCTTGAGCATAAATTGTGAAAGGATCAAAGAATTTAATGTTTTAGATGAAAACACTGAAAGCCTTTAAACTTGTAGTGTATCCAAAATATTTTTAGAAATAATGGATGCATGAATGATGAAGGCCAATAAGCAGGACACAAAAAACATTAACTCTGGAAGTGAAAATACTTGGTAAGTTGACTACATAAAAATTTTGCTATGTGGAGAGTTTGTGTTTATATACGTGTTTATATATGTTATATATATGTGTTTATATACGAGCCTAGCTACCTATCTACTCACACAGATGTACATATACAATGTAAAGACAAGTCAGACATTTGATAAGTGATGACATCCCTTAAGCCTCACCCCTCCCTCCAATTCTTCTGCCCCAACTTCTGAAAAACTGACAAAGCCTAGGTACTAGCAAGAATTTCATACCGCACAAGCTCCTGCCCAAGTATGGGAGCCCTCACCCCCAGCCACAGTAAAAACCTCAGCCAGTCTCCTTGCCTTGTCCTCTCGAGCCATTTAAGATCTACTTGAGAGGGCTATTCTGTTCTCCAGGGCCCCAAACTATGTAATTAAGTAAAACACCCTTTTATACCCTTGTGTTATGTATATGCATCATCAGACTTGATACCCAACTCAAATATGGGGGTGGAGAGAGTTCCACCAGTGACTCTAACATGGACATAGATAGATGTAGATAATGCACATATTTATGGAAGTACATGCATCTATGGATAATATAGACACACACACAAATATATGCATAGAAAAGCATCTGGAAGAATATACCCCAAACTATTAAGATTGGTTTTGGTGATAAGAGAATTTTCCCTTTCTCAATTATATACTTCTGTACTTGGAATTTGATAGCAAGCATCTTTTTATATTGAGAGAAATATCTTAAAAGGATTATAAGCTTTCTTAACCAAAAAGAAAAACAATGAACTATACTTCCAACTCAAGAAGTGCCTAAGAAACTAGTATAAAAAAAATAAAAACAAAAGCCTAAATGAATAAATTGCAAATCAGAAACAAATGGACTTGATAAATTACAAATTTATAACATATAAATGCTTCAGATTAAGAATGTAAAAGAGGAAACGAAAGGAACCATAGAGAATATTCCCCAAAGTTCTTTGCTAATAAATTTGAATGAATATTCAATAAAAATGTTTCCTGACATTTATTCTAGAAAAGATATAAAACCAAGAAAAACAAAAACACCAGAAAAATATAGTGGCCAAAGAAGGACCTCCTCAAAAGTGCAAGGATTCATTTTCATAGGAGATTATTTTGAATTTCCAATGAAGAGTCCAGAGAAAGAAAAGCTTCCAACTTTTTTTTATGAAGCCAGGAGGACAATGACTGTAAAACCTAACAAAAATAAAATAGATACACACAAACCTCCAACTGCCCTCATAAATATGAGTATTGATTCAAAAATTGTAAATAAACACCAGTAGATAAAACCTAGTGGTTCACTAATAAAACAGTGCCTACGCGGACCCTCGCCGCTGTCCCCTGCACCACAGTGTGCAGGTTCTCCCATCCACTCTTCCCTCTTTCATTTACTCTGCCAGGTGTTTCCCAACAAATCTCTTGCACGTGCAATTCTGTTAGCATCAGCTTTTCCAAGGACTCAAGCTATTTCAGTAAAATAGTTGGATACAAAATCAATATAAAAAATAAATTCAGGAGCACCTGGCTGGCTCAAAGGAACATGTGACTCTTGATCTTGGGGTCATGAGTTCAAGCCCCACACTGGGTATTGGAGATTACTTAAATAATATTTTCTATACATAAAACATTCAAAAAATGTTTTGATGCCCACTACATGCCAGGCACTGGAGAAGACAGAAATACAAAAGTTTTAGTAAAACATGCCCATATTGTCCTCAAAGGCTTAAAGTATTGGAAGAGACATTTTGCATAGCCTGGCAAAACAAATTAGCAATTATAATCTAGTAATTAATATGAAGGAAAATTTCAAAAGCTCACAGCAGAGACCAGACTTAGTTTAAGGCATCAGAGAGGGCTTTTCTGAGCAGAGAATTAATCATAGCAAACTGAGGTGGAGAAAGAGTGGAAAGGGAGAGGTTTTCCAGTCCATGGGAGCAGCAAGTGAGAGAATCCCAAAATGAGGTAACTGTGGTAATCAACTATGAAACCTAGATTGCTTATAGCTAGGTAAATGGGTAAGAGCACAAGGTTGGGAGCCTCACTGGTGGAGCCCTGTAAACCAAGTTGAGGATCTGGGTCTTCATCTAGGAGGAAGGGCAAGGGTAAGACAATAAAGGTTTATAAATAAAACAACACAGATCAACATGGATACAGGGAGGAGAGGAAATTGAAGGAGAGTAAGAGCTTGCAGGAGAATAGTCCAGATGTGGCAGCCCAGTGAGGTGTGAGGGTAGTTTGAACCAGAGTGGTGCAGGTGGTGACAAAGGAGGGGAGGTGAATTATACAGGATCTACTAGGAGGCTAAATCCACATGGTTGGGGATTGAATAGGATGAGGAGGATGAAGGGAGTGAACAACTACAGGTTGGATAGTGACACCATTCACTGACGGAGACTGTGGAAGAGGAGTGGGTTTGGAAAAGATATCCTGAGTGTGATTTTGAACACGCTGAATTTATGATTTTGAGACATTCGAGTGGAAATGCCCAGGAGGCAATGACATACATGAATCTGGAGTTCAGAAGACCTAGTCCAGAAATACAAAGTTAGGAGTTATGAGCAAATGATTAGTAACTAAAATCATAAAAATGGGTGAAATCACCTACATGGAAACTAAGATCTAAAAAGATGAGGGTAGAAAAT